TTTTTTTCCTCTCACCTTTATTCAAAGTAATTTTGAGCAGCTGCAACTCGTTGTTCCTTTGGAATTTACTTCTCCTTTTGCAACTTAATTCACGAAATACGTGGTATGGATAATATTTGAATTAATGAAGAAGCTTCAGATCACGACGGTGATTATTTGGGTCATGTGATTATTCTCCCTCGGACGAGGTGTCTTTCTCTCACCGGGGAGGTTGTTATTCTCCCATCAGAGAGCTTATTAGCTTGAAGGAGTGGTTTGGACACTGGTTAGGGCTTGTGCGGGTTGCTATGGAGTCTTATTCGAAGGGTGCACGTCGGCGGAGGGAATTGGGAATCGACCGGAAAAGATGGCATTATCAAAGTTGGAAGCTAACACTATTGAATTGGAGGAAGGGGACGTGAGGATAAGTGCAGAGGAGTGAAGCCGAAGCCTCTAGGGAAAATAGTCGCCGAAAGGAAGACAAGTCTTTTCAGTATTCGTAGAAAAATGAGATAGTTTGGCAGACGGCGCAACCAGTTGAGGTGAAAGAATTGGGAGCGAACTTCCAATTTTGTATTTGGAATCCATGAAGACAAACACAAAAACACAGTTCCAATTTTGTGTTTGGAAGCCAGGAAGATAAACACAAGGTGGCGTAGGAGTCGATCGGATCTTCGGAAATCGGTATTTAATGCTCCATGAATGGGAAGAAGGTCCAATGCTTCAACGAAATCAATATCTTGGTTCATGTACACAACATACCTTTGAATTGGTCGAGTGCAAATATCGAAATAAAGATAGGGAGGTTAATTAAAAAAGTGCGGAATGTAGTCATTGTCAAAGCAGGTGGGCTGAATGGAAGTTTTATTCGATTACTGGTGACTATTGATTTATCGGAGGCTTTGCCAAGGTTCACGAACATAAACTGCTAGATCAGAATACCAATATTACCTTCCGTTTGAGAAGTTAGTAAATTTCTGTTACTTTTTTGGCAAAGTGGGGCACCTAGATAGTACAGATATTGAGGAAGGGGAAGTTCTGGAGGGACAGTATGGAGATCGGAGATTGGATGAAAGCCACAAATAATATGAGCTCAACAAGAACTGCAAATTCCTCTAGTCGATCAAATGGTTACAGCCCTGCAGCTCAGGCCACAACTCCTTCATCCTCTGGAAGCAAGAGAGAAGCAGGAACATGGATAGTTTGAGCATCTTCATTCCAGGCCAGTGAGGTACACAAAGATAAGGAACTAGTTGATCCTTTGCCAAACTTTCCAATCTAGTAGTTGTTGGGTTCTGTTAGGAACGTCAACAACATGCACGTTTGAATTTGGCAAAATAAACCTTAACACAGCGGAATCTATAGTTAGAGTTAGGACATTACCGATTAAAAGTTTTGCCGACTTAAAGACGTTTCTGATTTCCGGTGATGGAGATCGTCTGAACACTAGAATTCGATGGGCAGGTAGATTTGGCTTTCTCTTGATTCTGATCGAGTTGTTGAAACACAAAGGAACACCGGAATCGGACTTTCGGACTCTGGTCGGTCGAATCGGCTTTGGTTCAGCGGGTTGACTCGGTCAGACTCAGGTTGGTCGGTGGTGCTGCGGCTGCGCTCGGTCGCTAGTGCAAGTCGCAGACAGGTGCGGCTTGCTGGCGGGGCACGTCGCGAACATACGACGGGTGTCGCGGACGAGGATCGGCAGCGATGAGGACGGGCGCGTGTGGTCGTGGGACTCCTACGCTTGCTAGGACTGGGCGCGGGCGACTGGGGTCACACGGGCGTGCGTCTCGGGTCTCCTAGCCGTGCGCGGACTGGCGCTCGCGTGCAGTCTCTCGCGCTGGGAGAGAGGCGCGAAGATCGCTGGTAGATGGTGGCGCACGGCGTGCGTGCATCGCGGGGCGTCGTTGGGAGCGTCGCTGAGAACGGGTCGGGCGGCACACGGCTGGGCGCTGGATCTGCTTGGCTGCGTGCGGTGGGCGCAGGTGCCTTCCGGCGGCTGTGACGAATTTCGGCAGCGGTGGACGTCGGCGGTAGTAGGTGACTGGAATCTCACCACTAAAAGGCTCGAATAAATATTACCCAAAAGTCTCCTAATGTATTATCTAAACACATACTTCGATTAATATTGGTGGTGCGATTAATCGAATTTCACAAACTCTCGAATATATGTGAATCTCGATTTTTATCTCTGGGAAAACCTAAAAATCAAGCTCCACACGTGTTGGGGAAGAGGTTGGGACATGGTGTATTTATAGGCTACATTCGCTTCAATTTATTCAATAATTTCGAGCTCCAATTTAGCTCCACACGCTCTCCTCATTTAGCCAATTTATTCAATAAATTCGTACTCCAAATGATTAATAAATATTATTTTAATTGATCGATTTATCTTCTTATTTTAAGATATAATGTCCGTCAAATAAATTAATTATTGACAATTAAATTAAATTAAATTATATATAAGGGAATTATTATTTATATATGTGAAAATATATTTGTTGAGCTGATCAACATGTGATCATGCATGAGGAATGTGGATTAGAGAATTTTTCGGTGATTTGTTATTTTCTTAACCACGCAAAATGACAAATGATATGATTACTTTAAAAGATGGTAGGTATTTTAAGTGGAAGCAATTTCATTCACATGGCATACTAATAATTAATGGCAGATTCGAGAGCCGAAACCATTTTGTCGGGGTTAGTAGGGATGAATTTACATTTATTAATAAGGGGGCAATAGTCCCCCTCAATTTTTTATACTATTACTATTAAAAATTTTAATTTGTCCCTATTTAAATTTATTTTTGCATCTCCAATTTTTTTGCTGTTAAACGTCACACTTACCAGACCAACTTGCCCACAATTGTCAATTAACAATTCAACACTTCTTTTATTTTACTATTAATTTTGTATATTATTATTATCATTCTACAATTTTAATTGGGCCATATAAAAAGACTTTAACTCTCTTTTATTGCCCTGAAAACCGAGAACCGAACCCGATGATAAAATAAACCTGACTGAACCGACTTATGTGTAACGATAACTGAGAATCGGTTACCGAAATGTTATCGGTTCGAAATTGGTTCTGAACTCAATATGTCATGTTTTTTTGCCCCTTCTCAATTAATTTTCTAGTTTCGCCCCTGTGGTTGGTAACCGTTAGATCTATATGATAATCTAACAATTACAAATCTTAACGAAATGATTTCGTAATGAGATTGTAGCATTTCAATCATTATAAACTAATCCTTAACATGTTTTGCAATAAAATTATCCCATAATCGCGGTTGGATTTTTTTCATTCTCATTTCACCAACTTTGCCTTTTACTTTTTTGTTTTGTTTTTTTTTTTTTTTT